AGGGTTTCATTTTTTTTTATTTTTTACTTTTTCATTTTTTACATCTTTTATATATTTATTTTCTTTAACTTTTTATTTATTTGTTTTTTCCCCTTAATGTTCTTCCTATTACATAGGAGATTAAAATCCCTTATGTGATAGTTTGGAGGTGACGGGTTCTCTTTATGGAACCTGCCCTCCAACACAGAACAGCTGTTGTGTAGTTCCTGACAGCCGAGGCAGGTGGCGCTGTGATTACAGCGCCGCGGTCTCAGAGAACACACAGAGAGCCCGTAGAGCAGACGTTTTTTGTCTGCTCTATGGGCTCTATGGCTGAGCCGTTGTGCCTTAGTTTTCGGGGTCCCCCGGGAGAGCGGGCGACCCCGAAAACTACGGCGGGGGGTGCGGGCAGAAACGATCGCCGCTGCTCAAATTAATACAAGTGGTCTGTCAGACCACTTGTATTAAACGAGCGGCCGCGGCTCCACAATTTACATTCAGCTCTGCTTGTCCGGAGCCGGGCTGAATGTACTTTAAAACTACTTGCCCGGCGCCCAAAACTGCATGTCCCGGGCGTCGGGGGCGATAGGAATTCCACACCCCTGTGGTGTAACATACAGACTGGCGGGATTTGTTGGTCTGGTCTTCTCCTCGGTTGTATTTCTGTCCTCATTGAGTTTCTTTGTTCTCAGAGGAAGCTGAGGAATCAGCAGGCGGAAGGGGCTGTAACTGGCCTGCAGCTGGACATCCACTCACTGGCAGAACTTCAGCGCCGGGGCGTCCCGACCACCGATGACTCCCCGAAATATCACTATACCCTGGGGGATGATGGGAAATATGGTGAGTTCAGTGCTGCCGGCCTGGTCATTATTCTGCTGCCCGGGGAGGGCCGTGTGCTGTATGGCCTGGACATTGGCTCTTGGGATGGGCAGAGTATATCTAAGTAACACTGATATTGTGGGACTGATACTGAGGGACCGATACTGGGGCACCGATACTGGGGCGCCGATACTGGGGCGCTGATACCGATGGACCGATACTGAAGCACTGATACTGAGGGACTGATACTGGGGCGCTGATACTGGGGCACCGATACCGGGGCGCCGATACTGGGGCGCTGATACCGATGGACCGATACTGTGGGACCGATACTGTGGGACCGATACTGTGTCACCGATACTGTGGCGCCGATACTGGGGCACTGATACTGTGGGACCGATACTGTGGGACCGATACTGTGGGACCGATACTGTGTCACCGATACTGTGGCGCCGATACCGGGGCGCCGATACCGGGGCGCTGATACTGGGGCACCGATACCGATGTACTGATACTGAGGGACTGATACTGAGGCACCGATACCGATGGACCGATACTGAGGGATGGATACTGAAGCACTGATACTGAGGGACTGATACTGAGGGACTGATACTGAGGCACTGATACTGGGGCGCCGATACTGGGGCGCCGATACTGGGGCACTGATACCAAGGGACCCATACTGAGGGACTGATACTGGGGCGCCGATACTGGGGCACCGACACTGAGGCACCGACACTGGGGCGCCAATACTGGGGCGCCATACTGAAGCACTGATACTGAGGGACTGATACTGGGGCACTGATACTGTGTCACCGATACTGTGGCGCCGATACCGGGGCGCCGATACTGAGGCACCGACACTGGGGCGCCGACACTGGGGCGCCGACACTGGGGCGCCGACACTGGGGCGCCGACACTGGGGCGCCGACACTGGGGCGCCGACACTGGGGCGCCGACACTGGGGCGCCGACACTGGGGCGCCGACACTGGGGCGCCGACACTGGGGCGCCGACACTGGGGCGCCGACACTGGGGCGCCGACACTGGGGCGCCGACACTGGGGCGCCGACACTGGGGCGCCGACACTGGGGCGCCGACACTGGGGCGCCGACACTGGGGCGCCGACACTGGGGCGCCGACACTGGGGCGCCGACACTGGGGCGCCGACACTGGGGCGCCGACACTGGGGCGCCGACACTGGGGCGCCGACACTGGGGCGCCGACACTGGGGCGCCGACACTGGGGCGCCGACACTGGGGCGCCGACACTGGGGCGCCGACACTGGGGCGCCGACACTGGGGCGCCGACACTGGGGCGCCGACACTGGGGCGCCGACACTGGGGCGCCGACACTGGGGCGCCGACACTGGGGCGCCGACACTGGGGCGCCGACACTGGGGCGCCGACACTGGGGCGCCGACACTGGGGCGCCGACACTGGGGCGCCGACACTGGGGCGCCGACACTGGGGCGCCGACACTGGGGCGCCGACACTGGGGCGCCGACACTGGGGCGCCGACACTGGGGCGCCGACACTGGGGCGCCGACACTGGGGCGCCGACACTGGGGCGCCGACACTGGGGCGCCGATACTGGGGCGCCGATACTGGGGCGCCGATACTGGGGCGCTGATACCAAGGGACCCATACTGAGGGATGTCTATTTCTCCCTTTATTTGGGGAATTTGTTGTTCCCAGCCTGTGTTGTTGGGGTCCGGTTGATCAGCTGCTCCCTGGTTCTGGTTCAGTGTCCCATTCCCCTCTGGGTTGGCCTTCTCTATGCTGGTCATGGGTATCAGGCTGATCCTCCATGTTCCCCGGGGGTCGGGTTGGCTGGTTCCTCTCTCTGGTAGGGGGGTTGGCCTCTTCTGGGTCAGATTCAG